TACAAATGACATATTATCCCGACTGATGCTGGAGTTTTGAGGCTGGCACTAATAAAGATATTTAAGAGTTTAAAGAAATCTGACTTTTCTTTTTTTTTTTCAAACACATGACATAAAGAAACACTGTTGATGAGGACAACCTTGTCCGACTGTCTCATCCTCAGGACCTAAGCCAGAAGCTCGTAAAAAGGCCATCACTGATTAAGACAGCAGGATGTATTTCCAAGGATATATGGCCCATTGGCATTGTTTCGGGAGAAGCTTTTCAGGATAATGGCGGTACTGGAGCCAGGACATCAAATTCCAAGCCGTACCTCAATCTCACGAGACACAGTGGTTGTATGACACCACACAGGAATATATATAGAATATACTAAAAAGGTAAATATACTAATTCAAAGGAATTACATGCTAGTTTGAATAAGTTTAAACTGGGTTTAAACCTAACTGTTCATTCTGAGTTCTCCGGCTTTAAATCGCCGATATCTACCCCGTTCTACCTCTCCCCCACCAAACGGACCATTCTACCACAAAACTGCAGAAGCAGGGAGGAAATGGGGCTACAAGGAGCAAACACCCACTCTCACTCCGGGAGGCTCGCTGACCTCCGAGTGACATCAACCAGATGTTGTACGTCTTGAGGGTCTCTGATGGGAGAGCGGGGACGTTGGAGCAATTGAGCGAGCTCCTCATCCGCAGACAGCGAACTGCCATTACCGCACAACCCTCATCAAGAGATGGGGCAAGTATGTATGCAGTAGTCATTAACTTAGAAAGGACAAGAATGATAACTTGAAATTCAACATTCCGATTTTCGGCACTTTGATTGGACATCCTGTGATGGTGCAATGGTAAAAAAAAACACTCATTTTTAAAAGTGGTTGCAAGGCTGGCAACCAGGCATCAGCTTTTGGTTGCCGAAACTCTGCTTAAAAGGAATAGTTCACCCACAAGATGGCCATTTGTATGTTTGTTGTCATTTGTCAACTGTGGGAGTTTGTGAACAGATGTTTTGATGTATAATTTTTGCTGTTAAATGTCGCGGCCCCCGTTTTACAACAGTTCATTAAGACTTTTTCACCATTGAGGCATGCGAGAAAAACAAAGTTCAAGGTAGCATGCGGTGAGTAACCGATACACAAACGGTCATTTTGCGTGTGGAGCTTCCCTTAATAATGAAAATGTGACATGTCATGTGCATGTTGGACATGCTTTTGGATATAATTTTCCGCCCGGCTCAAAGATGCCAGGATACTTCTCCTCCCGAGACTTTTTGTTTTTTTTCGTTCGGGTTCATCTGGTTCTTTGTCCGTTGAATCAGTTTGTTTGTGATGTTGATGGTTAGTTTAATTTTTTACCCCCCCACCCCCCTGAATTTGCTTCACCATCGTCTCGAAAACAGATGCCTCTGAAAGCTCCAGCAGCTCTGTCTGGTTCTGGTTCCGACTGTGGCAGCAATATTCAAATATCACTAATGAAACACATATTGAAAATGTGTCTATTTTGGGGTGCAACCAAAGGATAAAAATTGGCAATTTCTCAAAATAGTACACAATAGCAACCTGGCAATCCACACTGTCTAGCCCTGGGTAGGTAGAGGTTTTTGGTATAAATGCAGCAAAACACACACACACACACACACACCCCCACACAATGTAAAAAAGAAAAAGAAATCTCGAAACGTAACCTTGCTGCTAATGGAGCTCAGTGGGGAGATAAATGGTGTGCAGCAGACAGAGGAGTGGGCTGGGTTTGACTGTCTGAAGATCCCAGAGTGGGAGCTGAAATAAACCGAGATGAGCCGAGCCAAACTGAGTGGAGGCGTAACAGTTATCTGTCCCCGACTGAGCCGGCAACAGAGCTCCATCACGGCTGAACAGGAGGAGAAACGACTAAACAGCAGCTGTCTGGAGGAGAGACCTGGAGAGCAGCTGCATTGCTTTCTTGTAGTTGGGGGGGGGGGGGGGGGTGTGTGTTCAGGTTAATCTGAGCACAGCTTTGACTTATCGCCACTGCGGAGCGGGCTGCCCATTATCAGCCCTGTGAGGTGCACGCACGATTAAAAGCTAACTGTCCGTCTCTTCTTGGCCACCTTATTAGAATGTGAACTGGTGTGCGTTTGTGTATCAGATCCCGAGAACGTGCGTCCTAACGCGTGAGGCGGGGCGGGGCTTTTCTGGACGCCGAAGGACGGAGAGCAGCGTGGTTGGATGCATTCAGACGAGAATGTTTCAAACAACGAGAGCAGGGCCAGCATCATCAACTGAAAGCCCCCCCCCCCCCCCCCCGTCATTAATCTGCTGCCAAAGCCTTCATGAAAGTCACATAGTGAAATGAGTCCACGGTAACCCAATCACCAGGATGTTCTCTCCAGCTCTCCCCGTACTCATATATTTAAAAAGGTCAGTTTTCCAACACTTTGTTGTTTTTTACGTTTTTTCGGTCTCATTTATTAGAATCTAATTCACACAGAGGCCTTTTGTTTATTTGGGCCGAGACGGGGGGGGGGGGGGGGGGGGGGAGAAGAGGGAGAGAGTGTGATTTTACATATGCTCTCCGTTTTGCTCCCCAAGTGTTTGCTCTCCAAACACTCCAATAATGAGCGTTTTAATAAGATCTGGTGATGAAATGGGAGAGCTGCTACTAAAGAATGGTGAAATTAATGATAATATTTTCCCCATTATGTTAAAAGCACCAGCACGGTACTTCATCTTCTGTGTGTGTGTGTATGTGTGCGTGGTGACGGGTCTGCAGATGGCAGGGCTGCGAATGAAAAGAAGGTAAGGCACTGGCAACATCCAGTCATGTCTCTCTCTGTGATTACTGGCAGCCGGCGCATGTGGAGGAGGTATTGTTAGCCTTGGTGGATTTATGCTCGTCTGCAGAGGTGTTACTGCCAACGTGCCAAAATCCTCGGGAGTAACGCAGAGGGTCCCGCTGAAGCCGACGTGGACGAGGTCCTTCACACAAAAAAGATGAGTCAGCCACGTCCTCAGCCATCCATAAAGAGAACTGGAGGCATGATTACCTCCAGTTGTATAACAAATTCATGGCGCTTTGATTTTTCTAGTTTTCTTATTATTCTGCTAAACACAGCGGGAACAGAGTGACCGTTGGCCGAATGACTAGCGAGTGACACAGGGAGTCAAACATGCATTATGTAATATGTCTGGGACTTCTAGTTTACGGAGATGATCTTTTAAGAGGGCACTTTGTTTTTTGTGCGGCTGCACATCTAATCGAATATTAGTTGCAGATCATGCGCTTCCTACACTAGCCACCGGGGGTGCTCTACATCAAGAATGTAGAGCAGAGAGGCAAAAACACACTAAATTCAGGTGAAAACGAACCTTATTTTAAGTCTGATTTTGATGCAAAGGTTTGTACATTAACAGGGATGTAATAAAAACACTTATCAACGGATAATCGTGATCCAATAATGATCTAAATAATCGTTTTGGCCTCATTTTTTTGTGGGCAACAGAGTTCTGTAATCCGAGTCCTTCTGAGCGGAAGTCACTGACTCAACATTAGCAATTATTAATAGAAATCTGCCTGTTTTTGTTTTGTATTTTCTCATTTTGAGTCCACACTGAGATGGTTTGGAACCTGGTTGCCCTAACTGGTCAGGCTGACCCCATTATTCCCAATACACATGTCACATAATAGGTTTAATCCCCCTCCCTGATCATGTGTTTACTTATTAATTGTTGGTGTGGATAGTGTTTACTTCTATTGTGGATCATTCGAAATGCAATAGAAGAGTATTATTCCATTAAGCTAGTTCACTGAATATGTATCACTCAACTGTAAAGCAGCCTTTACAACCAGGACAAGACAACTGCATGATATAACTTTGAATAATCTACTAAGGGAGAATTAGTAGAGGAGGAGGAGGAGGAGGGGGTAGACGTATAGATCGGTCATTATTCCTTCAAATATTGTTTTATTAGACCGTCTCAAGCTCTACCTAATCTGACCAACAACAGACGTGGCTCAAAGTTTTGTCTCTTGCAGAACAACATAAATACGACAGATTTCAGATCCATCATCCCAACGGAGCTTTATCTCTTAATTCAACTGTTACTTTGATACCGAGAGTAATCCTACCGGAGCTCTGTGCACGCGCTGGTACGACGCCCTGTAGTCCCGATGCCGGGCCCAGCCACAAGTATCCGCGACCTCACCGGTGACCTAAACGTTCATCGCGTTTCACCTGCACGGGACCATCACAGGGGGAAGGTGGAGGAGATGGGCCGGAGGAGTCTTTACATGTTTTATTTGGAAACCCGAGCCCCCGCCGGTAATTGCCCAAAATGACTCTAATCCTAATTGATGGTCTGGCTTTCTACTTTAGTCTGCAGAAGTTTTCCAGGACGACGGGGGCTACGGCAACTCTGTTAAAAGTCTGGACGCAGAAGCCCACACGCTCTTTATCCATCAGAGCAGGACACAAAGTCTGTCCTCCTTTTGTCCTTTGTGCTATCCTGCTATCTTTTTTGGGTCCTCTGAGAGAGTGTGTGTGTGTGTGTGTGTAAGATGATGATGTAGCCGGCCATTAAGCCAGACTGAGAGGAGGATAGTGCTCCTGAGGGGGAAGAAGTGGTGATTTCTGGCAGCTGTCTGGGCGTTGACAAGCTTGACATGTTCCTCATTCTGACCACACACACACACACACACACACACACACACACACACACAAGTGTGTTTTTGATTTGTCGGGGAGCGAAATTAAGTGCAAGTGGGCTTTTAGAACGGCCCCTACGGTCGACAAAAAGCAGCTTTAAGACAAGTTGAGAGCAAATCATTTCTAATTTAAAGTTACATTTAAGTGGCTCTTAAATATAAATGTATTAACTTAATGTAAGACTGGGAATCGCAATTGGTGCTTTTTTTTCTGTGATGGTGGACATAAAAAATGTGAATAAAAACAGTGCGTTGTGCAGACATTCTTGCGTTTGAGATTGTGTTCCTGGCCCGATGGGGTATCTGTACAGTACCTGGCTCGTGGCCGGCTCTGGTGGCCAGGGCAGGCATGGCTCCTGCCGGCTGCTTCCCGGTTCCCCTCAGGCTGTGGAAAGTGGCAGTGGGGCGTCACGGTGGTGTGGGCTCCTCGGGCAGCTCTCAACTTGCCATGGAGCCCTGCGAGAGAACAGCATTTTAGAACCTACTTGTGAGAGGGCCCGACGGCCGCATGCACGTGTGTGTCAGTCACCGACGGACACTGTGTTCTGTGTTATGGGATAGGAATACCTGCCATACTAGCACACATATGCATTTGTGTGTAGGCGAGCCAGCGATTGACAGCAGATGACTCACTCAACGGTTTGTGTGTGTGTGTGTGTGTCAGTACGTTCACAGTTGACTCTGGGTGTTTACAACCCAACACTTTTTCCCTAAGTTGCTGAACATCCTGCTTTGTACACGAGCCAGCATCACCTCACCCAGCGCCCACATTACAACTCAGAGAATGCAACACACACACACACACACACACACACAGCTACCACGCACTTTATTCAGCATCCAGCGGAAAACAAGGGAAACTTTATCCGCTGAGGGAAAGTAAGCAAGCGAATGCAACAGACCTGTGAAGAAAATCAAACGGGCGTGGAAAAGCATCGCTTCGTAAATAATGGCGCTGAACTGGAAAGCCAGATAGAGCGGGGGGGACAGGAAGAAAGGGGTTTGTAGAACACGGATACAAAAAAAGCCCGTGGCTCATTGAAATCTCCCCACTGCAGTTGGATGAACATGTGCGGACACACGTCGCAGCGTACAATAAACTCCTGAACCACAACAAGAGGAGAACGGCCGATGTGTGTAAATAAGGACGAGACAGCAGAGCAGAGCTGACTCAAGACTTGGGAGTCAGACGTAGGTCAGGAAACAAGAAGGTGGAGAAGAAGCTGAAATCCTCTCAAAGTGCACCAGATAGTTGCATTTCACTTTAGGAATGTTCTGGTCAGCGAGTGATCGTATTGTAACGGACTGAGTGACATGTAATGTTATGTAACCTGTCACATTAGTCATCGCAATTACTGAGGTCAGTAGGTCTCATGCCCTGTGAAGCCTGTCAATCATCCTAGCAATGGGGCGGATGGCACACACGAGCGTACCTGAGTGAGGTGGGATGTTGTGTTAGAGCCGTCCTTCCTCCCGACATACACTACATTTATCACAGCCTCTTCCCCTAGAAACATCAACAGGGCCCAGCTAAGTCTTATCTGAAACGGGGAGAATGGAAAACAGTTAGGTCTGCGCCTTTCGGTTCTTTACAACACGCGGCTTAATGATCCGTTATATGTCAGCTCCCATGTGCTGTGGCCCAGTCAAGCTCAGTCTACCCAGACTGTACAGCCTCGGGGTCCCGTTAGTAGTTCACTTCCCCTGAAGAAAAATGCTCAAAATAAACACACAGCAGCGAGATAAGCCACATCCTGCGTCTCCCATGTTGATAAGAGTTGTAAACACCGGCTGTGGGTAGACACTGAGTCACAGTGGTGCTATACGGCTGAACCACTTGGCTGCAGACGGGGACCGCCAAGACACCTGCGCCCTCCCGGCTCATTGGGACCCCTCCCATCAACGGTTCGGTGGTGTCGGCCACACACACACACACACACACACACACACTTGGAAGTTTGAATTGCTGTGACTTCACGTCCAACTCCACGTGGCCGAAATGTGGAAGCGGAAATTCAAAACAAATACGTTTTCTGTCAAGAATCTGAGTCAAGAGTCTAGCCCCCGCAGTGACACAGATGCACCGGACTAACTACTTCCTCGCGTTTTTGTACAAACGCACGCAGAGGTCGAGGCTCAAAAACCTGCCAAGGCCGCAGCCCACGTGGCGAAGCACTACCACGCCTGTCTGACATAATGCGATGAGAACTCACCTCAGGGCCCGGCAGACCCCCGGGTGGAGCCTTGTGGAAAAAGCATTTTGACAATACGGTCCAGAAGATGCCTGAGTGAGCAGGTAAGCAAGCCATTAAAAGAGCGCATCAGAAAAGGATATTTTTTTTGTCTGGATTGAGACGTCAAAATGTGGTGCATTCATCAAACGGCACTTAAGAGGGGATTGATTTTCCACCGAGAGGAGATCTGGGACTCAGAACCCTCGCTTACGCTCTCACGCCAGCGTCAATTTGCGGGCCAGATTTGTCAGTCGTTTGCATGAGCACAAACCTGGCGAAACCGGAGGTTGGTTCTGTTCGACTCTTTGTATACTTCAGTAAAAGAGGTTAAGGCGACCAGCAGAGAAGGGCAACGGCGCCTCGAGCAGTGACCACAAAATCTCTCCAGCAGGCCGGTTTGAACAGGGGAACCGAAGCTAACAGCCACTGCGCTCGCGCCAAGAGAACTGACCCATGCTAAATCAGTTCAGTGTTTCACAGAGCACGGTTTTGTCATAAGGCTTTGTGATTGGAATGACAGACTTGAGGAAAAGACAAGGGACATGAATTCTCTTTAGGTATGCCGCGCTGTAATATCAGTCGTTCGGTCTTTGGTTCCATCCAAAAAAAAAAAAAAAAAAAAAAAAAAAAAAAAAAAAAAAAAAAAAAAGGGGGGGGGAAATGACCACATATTCCCCAATCTGACAAGGGATCCATCTTTCCATTTGAGGGAGCTTTCAGAGGGCCAGGAAGCATGTCCCAGAGCCGGGAACACCTGGGACTTTTTAAGAGGGCCCAAAAGGATCATAATAGACGGGCCTGAAGAAACATTCCCCGCTGTCAGAATGCTCTAACCGTGTCTGTTCAGATCACACAATATCAGATGGTCACGGGGAGAGAAAAGGGACACCATGTGGACGAGAGCTGGGGCTCGCTTAATTGCAGCCTCTTGTGCTGTGAAGTTCGACATCTTCAAATGGTTCTGCCACCATCTAGTGGGAACATTCACCACTGCAGGGAGTAAACCCAGCTGAGACGGGACCTGGAGCACCTCTCCCCGCCAACAAAAGACCTGCATGTATGGATGTCAGGACACGCTGTCTGTGTCTGCTTAGTTGTGTTCCGAGTGTGAAACTAGAGGTCGAATCAGTGTTTACAGAGAAAATAGCCCGGGGTGATGGATGGATGGGTGGAAGGATGGAAACAGGGAGGTGTGGAAGACTGTTATTCTTCCTCTCTATTCAAAAACAAGCCTGTCCGTCCAGCTGGGAGGTCGAGGGGCGGAGCCGCCCGACTCTCAGCTGGATGTTGATGAAGTTAGTGACGGGAATAACAGAGTCAGGAGGTGAAATGACTGAAGACCTGTCATTTCTGAAGGGCCTTTAAACAAAAGGAAAATATGCTTTGAGTAGAGAACTTTGTATCAGTTTTACTGTTCTGCCTTTTGCTTCTTCCCTTCCTCACGAGGGCGGACTGGACCGTGGAAGGATCACCGTTCAGAGCACGTTGTCAGAAGACGACAAGATCCCAAGGGGAGGGCCTGAATTGCTACAACAGCCAGAGGTCAACTCTGCCATTCAGCACCGCCGAAACCTCCCCGGGGTGCTACTTGGGGTGTTGGGTTTTTCTGTCCTGGATTGTCCCACAATCAAGTGACAGGAAGGCCAGCTACCGGCTCGGGTTTTTTTTACTGGGCCACCGTGAACGACACTGATCCTCTTCAGCGCATGACAGACGCCAATCCAAAGGAACCGCTCTCACACCCGCTCTGGTTACGGCTCGAAGGGCCGGTTCGCTCCAGAGCGACCCACCGGCTTTACAACGTCTGGGGATCCGCTCCGATCTGCCGAGTTTATCCGTCCTTGCTGAGACGACAGATGATCCATTTGGCAGTTGGCGTGACACCTGCTCAGGTTACCAATTCTGGACCGTGTGTTGCGACATTGTGAGGCTTTGGTTCTCCACTTATCTTAAGTCCTTCGTAAAATGAAGGAGATGAGGTTGTATTGTCCAATGTGCTGTTGCTTTTTAGTTTTCATGAATCTCTCCAATATCTAACCCCAATCAGAAGTCAAGTTCTGTTGGGGGCTTTTTTTTTTGCCAATTGAAGCCAAAGTAAGCAGCCATACTAGAACTGTGCCGAAACAATAGAGCAAGATTTTGATATAAATGATTGATTATCCGATCAAAGAATAAGCAAAGAAAAATTACAAAACTGACTAGGTATACCATTCATTTTGGTACTGATGGAATAAACCATGGACTAGGGCTGGGCAATAATTCAATATGACTATTTATTTCCTTTAATTGGAATCATATCGGGATGAAATCATAGATCGAAAGATTGTGAAACACAATTACGACGTCTAAATTGATAAAAGCGCGCGCATTCTAAATCAAATTTTTCAGAAAATCTGGTTATTTTCCACTATTGTTCTTAATTAAGTGAGAAAATACTTTTCGTCTGTCAAGTATTCATTTCACACAAGACTATCCCAAACCACGTTGCTGTTTCATACAGACTAATTACCAGAAACTGTGACGCATATCGTTATCGAGATACAAAATGGGTACGCTATCTTGCCTTCTGCATGTTCTTGCGCGCTCACACAAAAGGTCAACAGAGGCGCACAAAGCACACAATCTCCCAGTACACGAAAACAGGCTCCTAAATATCCGTTTAGAAAAGAGCTCGACGTGAGCGAGACAGACGAGAGGTGTGCTACCGCGTGGTTTTTCTTTGATGGAAAAACTCTGTTCTTCTACTTCGGGCCCCGTTGGGGGAGCTTCAGCTCTTGGGGTATTGGTATGGGGTAGCTGTGAAGACAGATTGGATGTAAAATCAATTTGTATCTCAGCTACTCTACATCGTATTGGCTTTGAGGAACCGCAAAGTGCAAAGTCAGACAGACAGAAGTAGATAGAGTTACAGCCACATGCACACAACCCTACATGACACAATCGTAAGGGTGTAATTGCAGCGTATCCAGCTGTGGTAGCGGCGAACATTCATTTACACGCGGGCACACGGTGGAACTACATTTCAATGGGCTGTGCATAATTGCAATGTATTAAACCGTGGCGGAGAGGAATGTTCATCCGCATGACATTTTGAAACTGAAAGACATAAGAAAGTCCTCCTGATGCCAGCGTTTTCTGTTTCTTCTGTGGAAAAACACATCGTCGAATAATGTCTTTCTCCTGGCTTGGCGCGGCGCTGCCAAGATGTCACCACGTCGATTCCTATTAAGCATGAGGCGCGTGACAGGCCGGCGTTTTCCAGGCGCGTGCCATGCGACTTCTCGTTAATAGCCGTTAGCTTTACGAGGGATTGGGGCCGCTTAAATTAAGGCTCAGCGGTACCTGGCACGGCCGACGCTCCTGGAATGACTGGAGGAGGAGGAAGAGGAGGAGTGGTAATAAGGATGAGCTGTAGTGTATTCATAAAACTCCTAAAAAAAAAAAAAAAGCATATGGAAACAGATTAGGGGAGCAAATGCGGTTGAAGGTTGACAGAGAAATGGGAATAGTCGGCTCTCTCGTCTTGGTCTCAGGTAGGATTTTTTTATTGACGGCTCAGGATCAGAACTATTGCCACGTGTTGCTCATAAGCGGTCCAGTGTTTCCACATAAAACACAGCCGCTCATGTGTACGTACATGTGTGTTGTTAGCACGCACAGACGCGAATCTGTGTTCAGGTCAACCTGTCTTTCCAGACGCATGAAGTCATTCTCGCTCCTTTCAGACGAACCGCAACGCCGCAACTGGCTGGAACATTTCATTGAGATCTGTGTAATTTACAAGAGAAATGAACCAATGTTTCAGGAACTCTGGGCTCACTGATATGGAAGAATATGAGTCAGGGCACAAGGTGACAGACTGTAAGTCTCTCGTGTGCTAGATATTTATTGCAGAATACTACAATGAATGTCTGGCGGATGTGTCAAACTGGCTTTAAGGCTTTACAACTGTGCTGTTCCATACATGTAACCAAAAGAATGTAGAAAATCACCACAATTTGAAGTCACTTTGTCCTTGCAGTATTCCCGTCACCACAGAGACACCTGTTCTTACCAGGGATACAAACAGCAGCTTCTGGCACTGCCACTACACTATCACAGAGCAACGCACACTAAAACCTCCCGTGTAGGATGAAACCCGCCCACCAGGTGTGTTGGCTCAACCTGAAACTCAAGTTTCTTTTCCTGCCTGAGGGCTCACGGGGCTCCACCCTTCCTTCTGTTTCTTTTTTTTTTTTGGACCTCACAATACAACTCTATTGTAAACGGAGAGAAAGACAGAGTATTTGTCCTTCCCAGTTAAAATAAAATAAACAAAGAGTATTAAAAGGCTCTTTTAAAAGTGTTGCGTCTGTTTGACAAGACATGAGTTCCACGGTATTGGCTCTTGAAGCTAATTCTGATCATCCTATACAACAATAAACTTGTTGCACAGAACCTTCACTGATGACAATGTCCTTCCAGAAATGTCCATACATGGTGGGAACTCTGCTAAACACAAATTAGACCGAACTAAAAGGAATTCAATCTATAATTCTTTACTCATCTTATTAGTTTTACAGAATAACACTCAAACCACCTACAATGTTACTCACTGCACAGTGCAGTCTCCTTTCAACATGCAACGACAACATGTGGCCACTAGAGGGAGCAGTCGGCTCACTAAACATCTCCAGACCACACATTGTGGGGGGGAAACTATTGTGGAAAGTTGCAGTGTGTGTAATTCTGCATGCTTGCTTTCTTGTGTGTGCGTTTGTGTGTCTGACTGTGTGAGTTTGTCTCTGTCCTCACCATGACCTCCGATGTGTCTCAGGGTGGCAGTAATCTCATCCCACTGGCTGCCAGGGCCCCATTGATCACTAAAAGAAAGGAGGGGCCCCGCAGGCAGGCAGGCAGGCACACACACACACACACACACACACACACACACACACACACAGGCACACACACACACAGCAGCCTGTTTTATATAGAATATATCCCAATGCAGTCTGAGGAGTAAAAGTATTTTTGTAGCCCCTTGCTATACGTTTTGTGCATGCTGCCTCACTGTCACGGCTTACCAGGATACTTCATTAAAACAACCGTCGTTAATGTTATTAGCAACACCTGTGCTTCTCCTGCAATGACAAGCCTAAACGTCTGCTGTAAAAATAAAAAAGGCCAATAGAACTGAAAGTAATGGTACTAAACTCCCAATTTAGATTTAAAAAAAACTATCAAAACAGTTTGATAAATACTGTAAATTACATGTCCACCTCCCAGATTATACACACACACTAAATAAACTACATGTCTGCATAGTAACATGGGGTTAAGTCAGGGTCATTTGAATGCGTTACCTTGGGCTCTGAAAATCAGAGCGATGAGTCGTAAAATACTGAACGCATAATGTAAAAAAATAAATACAAACCTCGACCACTTCCTCCTCTTTGTCCCCCTCCCATCCCTGCCGCTCTGGTTCCCATGCACACACAGCAGCTCTTTGTCTCTCCCTGACCCATTAACAGCGAGGGGAGAGAGACCACGGT